TGGACGACCAGTGGACGGACAGAGTCTCAGGCTATGGTGGTCCGACCACCCGATCATTCGCATGAGATGCCGTACACGTATCCCAACGGGCGTTCCATTCTAAAACCTCTGAAGCGCATGATCTTTACGGAAGAACACAATCCGCGCGTCGAGGTGAATACAATCATGTCGGGATGCTAGGAGCGCGACGCTCGGGATCGTCAGTTTGCTGTCGACGGATGTGCCGCTAAAGAAGGTTCTGAATGACGAGCATACCCTAGTGAAGATTTGGATGAATTTGGCATCAGCCGGTGGGGCGATGGACACGTTCCCAAGTGTCGAATTCGTCTAATTGGCAAAGCAAGAACCGTCGTGACGACGTTGATATAGCCGACATTGGCGGAATGGCCAGAGGCGAGGAGACGCGAGTGGAAGGCCCCGACTTCGTACTCCTTTCCCTGCGATGACTTGTACAAGTCAGTTGTTCGCACGCCTCTCGGATTTTGTCGCGCTTGTGGTAGTCCATGCACAGGAACAAGGAGTGCATGTACAGGGCATGATTCGAGGCGATGAAGCGCGCGAACTCGATAGAGTCGGCGAAAGCGCTGGAGAACGACCAAGTATTTCAAGCTAATGTGTTCTCATTTCTTGCCAATGCCATTGCCATTGCTGCTTCTTTGTATGTCGACGGTGTGAACCCTAAGGCTCCGTGTGCTGAGCTGGATGACCAAGCTCTTGCACGTCGAGGCAATAAACCATACTCGCCGAAGGTAACGATAGAAGTGGTGGAAGAGGATTGTTCGCTCACCTAGCCGGCCCTGCCTTTTTGGGTGGAGTTGCTTTTCATCAAGCACGATGCTCTACCTCCTTGCGGCCCAGTGACCAAGGCCTTCGCTGTCGAGAATAGCGGATATCGGGCGGCTTTGAAGGAGCAGGACCAGCCTTCGTTTACCCAGCATACGGCCGAGACCGGTTTGGGAAGAGTCGCCTGAAGCCTACACGACTACGAGTCGGCGCTGGTGAGACAAAGGAGGTCGTCCGGTAGAGACACGCGTCTTCGGGCAGAAGAGAAGGACGACAGCGAGGAAATGGAGAAAAATCAAGCTTCGAAGGAGGATCGTCTGTACCATGACTCGCCCCTATCCTCTCTGACGTGTCTCCCAGACTCTGAACCCAAGAAAGAAGGGTTGTACGACAAGCGGAAACGGTTGGATTAGGAGAATCCCCGCCCAGCATCGATGTGCAAATCGAGCCCCAGTCCGGTCGACTGTTCGTCGAGGGATATAAGACTGGCTCCGGTCTAAAGCGTCTCTGGGAGAAGGCGGTCGCGCCTCGAGACCCGTGGCACCCGTCGCAACGGTAATTCAAGGATGACCTTGACTTGCTGTACTTCCGCGACACCGAATTTCTATTGCGATTGTATATTCCCGTTATACGACGAGCGCGTACTTTGCGAGAGACGCATAAGTCACCCTCCATCAGTGCTCACGCGGGGCCGGAGAAGCTGTGCTTGACTTGGAGCAAGCGATCTTTCTAGTCTCGCATGAGTATAGAAGTGAAGGCTTACTGCGAATCCTGTGACGTATGCCAGAAGATGAAACATCAGAAATATACGCGATGTAGCGCTTTACGTTCTAATCCTATTCCCGGTTGACCCTACGACACGATCTCGATGGACTTCGCCGTGAATCTCCCCTGGTCAGAAGGATATAACGCCGTCCTGGTCATCGTGGATCGGTTGTTTAAGCACGCAGACTAAAGGTCACGCTAAGGGCGTATGTTGCTTCCGACCGTACCGATTGGGCGAAGTGGTTGACCCTACTGCAATATGCGTACAGCCAGACCTCGTACGCGAGTACGGGCTTCGCCTCTTATTTCCTTCTAGGCGGGTTTGAAGTCCAAGGGACTCTAGACTTTGCCGAACCCGGTCTGTTACGAGGATCACGTCACGAACGGATGGCAGAGGAAGCAGTGGGCGCATACGTGACTAGCATTGCTATGGCTCGCGCTCAAGTGAAACAGGAGGAAGCGCACGATGTCGGCCGCCGAGATCTAACCTTCGAGGCTGGGGATGAAGTGTTACTCAACCCCCATACCTTGAATGGGTCGAGTCCTGGGTGCCGGGCGTAAGCTTGTACATAGGACGCTAGGACCCTTCACGGTCGCCGAAATGGCTGGAGATAACACCTATCGCTTGCTCATGACCAATAAGTATCCCGGTTCGCGGATCTTCAACGTTGATCATCTCCGCAAGTACAGTCGGTCACCAGTCGAAGAACGGGACACCCTTCCGAATCATATACTCGCTAACGGAAAAGTATCCGGTGGAGAAATCAACGGGCCACCGGGGGAATAAGAAGAGGAAACAGCTGGAACACCTGGTCCGATGGGAAGACTATTCTTCACTCTACTTATAACTCTTGGTCCATTCAGAACGCGCCGGGACACCTGGCTCAATACCGCGCTCTGCAAGCTGAATAGCTAGTCACGAGACCACGACGTGGGAATCCAGTCGCCTCGCGCTGCAAGTGCTGGCGCGCGTGCGCTGTCCGCCTTCCACTTCCATCGCAAGGTCTCTGCTATCGAGTCGTGTAAGGATTACCTCTAAACACTCGATATGAGGTGGTTCAATCTCTGGCTTACCCTCAATCTCTATTTCTCTATTTGTTCTTCCTCGCCCGACAACTCGAACCCGAGCGCTGACGCCGAACCCATATCTTGGCATGCCTTGGTACCCCAACCGCCCGCAAACGCAGCAGCCAGACAGGTGGTCACCTGGACTACGAGGGAGGAAATAGACAGGACCACCGAAAGTCCATTCATATTGTGGCTCACGAACTTGGAGCAGCTCGCCACGGCGGATCGTGCCAGCGAATGGATGGGGTCGGATAGCGTCTGGGCACTAGCCTCGCCGTTGCGGGTGCCCTTGCCTGCAGGTACCCCAAATTGGACCTCTTCCGACGAAGCGTGCATCGGTACTTGGGTAGTTTGCGCTCGTCGCGAGCCATTCCCGCCGTGCGATCCAGGTCCTCCTCCATTCGCGAATCGCACGAGTCCGTTCGCCAGAAGGACGACGTACCCGGGCAGTTCAGCAGGGTCGGTCTGGCCTCCACCTGTGTGGTACCGTCGGGCAACGATGTGGACGGCTTGGTTGGCTACGAGGCCAGAAGAGTCGTCTGCATTACTTTGGCGCTACGAACAGGATGATCGCCTCATTGAACAAGTACCAGGCGGTTACGTGTTATCAGCCGTTGCCGAGCTGGGTTTCAATTCGATCGCTGATGACGTTGAAGCTATGTCGTCGGCGGTGCACCGCACACTGAACATCGTTCCTCCGCCTCCGTCGGTGCCTCGGTATCGCGCTTCGTCCGACTTTGTATTCCCACTCGAGGATCTGGTTGCGTACATGGACGACATGCGATGGGCCGCACTCAACCATATTGCATACGTGCGTATGCACCTAGGGCCCGCGTCGCGCAATGCCATTCGCGGCTTCGCACCTCCCGGATGGTCGTATCCGTCTGCGCCAGGCATGCCCTTTTGGGTGGCCTACGAGGCCTACCACGTACGTGACGGCACCCACGTTGGTACCCTCATCGACACGCGGGCTCTCCCGGAGGATTGGCCTTCGTTAAATATGCTGGCCCAGTCTGGTGTCCCGTTCTGGTGGCTGGAAGGTCGTGAGGAGCCGCTGCACGAGCGCGAGAGTGCTCTGCAGTTCCGTAACTTTGAGAACGAGAATCTGCCCCAGATGTCGGCTTTACGCGCGGCCGTGGCGGATATCCGTCGTCGTCGGGAGGTACGAGTGTCGACGGAGCCATACGGGGCCGTCACTCGGGCGACGTTGATGCTGGACCGGGGCGAAACGTTGGCTCTGTTTCTCGAGAGAGTACAGTCGGTGGATCAAGCGGTACGGGAGAATGTTACGCAGATGTCCATGACGGCCGTCCCGGTAAGCATGGCTGCTCGCAACCTCTGGATCAGGCGGTACGAGCACATCCGTGGCTATCCTCGCCCGGGAGACATTACCTTTTTGAACTGGCGACCTTTGCTCTCTCGTGAGGATGTCCTCAGCGGCCGAGAGGCGCATCCCAGTTCGTGGGGCCGTCGACTTAGGGTACCGGCAGCGAGAGGATCAGATGCCGAGGACTTGTACAGCGACACCAGCGACTATGATTCGGAAGCAGCGGACACCCAGCACTTCTCCGACACTCGCACATGGCCTCCGGCTCCGTTACCGGTCTTCCCAGTGCGCCCTGCTCGCCCGCCAGCGCGCTTACGCTTCGCGCGACAGTTCAACGCTGCCTCAGCAGAACGAGAACACGCGTTCGCGCCGCAGGAGCAGCCCATGGACCTAGACATCCCTGACCCAAGGGAAGTGTTGCCTCGCCCGCACGATCACCCAGTGTCACCTGTCGCGCCAGTTCCGACCCCACCCACCAGACCCTTTCCTCAATCTACGCCACGCGGGGGTATCGTGATCTCTGACGCGAGTGTCGGGAAGGGCAAGGGTAAGCGTCGCGCGGACACGGACGCGGATACCGTTGAGGGATTCTCCTTGCGCGAATTGCAGTCCGCGCAGGCAGCGTCCTGTCGTGACGGCCCGGATACCGCGCTATCCGCGGGCGAATCGTCAAGGGTCACGTTGGAACGTACCGAGCAAGCTAGCGGTAGCAGTCTGCTGGCGGGCACGGATGAGCAACCCGCTGGTCGGAAACGCCGCCGGAAGGCGCAGCCCAAGAAGGTGCTACCAGCCCGGGAAGGTCTCGAGTCAGGGCCATGGCCTCCTGAACCGCCGCGTCGTCCGCTCGGTTTCGATTCGCGATGGCCCGAGTTGCAGGTCCGATGGCCCGGCACACTGGTTTCGACGGCTTCCGAGGATTTATCGCGGGAAATGCGTAGCATCTCTCCGTCGCGCGACACCCACGTCGTTCACGACTTGCCGGCTCCTGTCCAACGCGGACGTTTGCAGCTGCCACCGGCTTCGGCTCTACGGCTTTGGTGGTGGATGGAACAGCACCCGTACGCTCCGGCCCCTGCGTTCGTGCCGTGGGCATTAGCGTGTGGAGTACGCTTCCTTTGGGGTGCCCCGGGGTCGGGCTTGCCCAGATTGCCGGACCCTCTCGGTGGCGGTATGCCTCAAGCTTCTCTGCCGTGGTATGAATGGGTCCACGACGTCGTGGAGGTTCTTCGTCGTCCTAACGCTCGAGCATTCTTGTGGGACGGGGGCATCTTGTGGCGCCTAGCGCTTTACTTCAGGAGCGGGCTTCTCGCAGAAGCAGGTTCGGGTCCATCTGAGTCGGCCTACCATCTGCCCGCGCCATGGCCTGGGTCGTTCGTTTCGGACGCCTTGTCATCTGTTGAAGTTAACCTGGTTATCGGCCGGAGAGCGGACGGCTTGTCGTGGTGGCCTCACCCTGATATTTGGGACGCGGCGCTGAGCATCGGCGAGTGGTGGTCGGTACACGAAGACTGGTTCACCATGCGCATGCAGGCCATTCTTTCCGGCGATGCCGTGCCGCTAGCGGATACCGCTTGGTACGGGGAGGTGCGGAACTGGATAACGTCCCCCAGTCGCCCTGTCTTCCACGCGGGCAATCTTCGAAGGGTTTCGCTCTTGACGATCTTGTTAGACAACGACTGGCAGGAAAATCTCACGGACGGCTTTGTCCAGCTCACTCTGGAAGACGGTAACGAGTCGGACATGGAACAGGATGGGCAGTAGGTTTGGTTCCGCCGAAGTTGGAGAGTTGGAGGCTCTGTGACCCGCTATAGGAGAGGAAGATAGTGTGGGAGAGCTCCGGACATTCCCGAAGCATGTTCCTAGTTAGTTGTTCTCGTCCCTGAATGATCATCTACTACACATGTGAACCTGTCTGATTCTCGTAGCCCCGTATTGTCTCTTTCTATCTCTTTCTAGTCGCTCGACTCTTTCTCATATCGTCTCACTACTCTCGGCTACTCGAAGGGCGACGCGGATAATCGTCGCGCCCTCTCCGAGTCGAGTAGCTTGCTAAACTCTCATGGGCTCTCGCTCATCGCGTCGCCGTCGCCCTCGATGACTCTCGGTCCCGCGCTAGGCGTAGCCACTACAGCAGCTTAACAACTCGCTACGACATTTATACGACATTCACTAGTCTATGCACTCGCTCTGCCTACGCCTTGGCCTCATTTAAGCACGGGGTCCTGCTCACCGATGACAACACCTTTCATGACGCCCTCCATCCCATTTTGCAGCACCTTGCCCAACGCTTCCCGTTACCTGAAGCATTGTAGTGCACAAACGCCGCGGCCGACGATTAGCTTCAAGCAGAGTGTTAAGCTTTGCATCTTATGGTGCCACGCGTGTCTTCGAGGACAGAGGATTGCATCGCGTGTCCCGCCGAAGCGATTCGCGGACATCGTCTAGGTGCGCAAGGCCAACGCAAGGCGGTTAGAGATGCGATGCACGCAGGGATATCATTGTGAGTGCCCATTCATACTCCGATTCACCATTCCTAATTCCCGGGACCGACGGTAGTAGATCACTCCGGCCCCCGCGTGGACCTTTCGACAAACCCGACAGTGGCGTGCTCGATAGGATCGATCGGCCCTTACGGGCGGCAGATCTTGAGTGTCTGCGCACCTGTAGGCTCGTTCATCACGGATAAGTCGCTGGTCGTTCGTCACGAGTGGGCGTCGTCGGCCGTCCTCCTCGTCCTCCTATCAATCAGTCCGTGGCGCAGTGCCAAGCGAGACTCTCTTTGAGTCTTATGGTAAGGACATTCAATACCGTGAGCGAGGTGTGCGTGAGCAATCCCCCAGGCCACCCCACTCGCATGCGCACAGTTTGACGGTCTGGTGACAAGTACTCTCCACCACGACAGAAGTCTTTTGCGGCTACCTTTAGCGTCTGTGCTCGCAGTCTGTGAATCACTGAGATGTATGATATCTTCTGATGATACTTGAAGCTTGACGCATCGTGAACTCGCAGTTTTTGGGACAGTGGTCGTGGTAACAGATGAGTGGATATACTTTTCGAAAGGCAGTGGAGCGTAGAGTATTCTATCTGGGTGGTTGGACAAGACATCGTCACACTGAAATGATCAAGGCCGTGGCGGAGCACGCAGTTTAACAGTACGTGTGAGGAATTGTGGACCTTTCCGCAATCTATACTTGGACGTCACTATCCTCTCCATTCACGCTATCATCCTCTGAATCTTCGTGTTCCTCGTCTGTCCAGCCTTGTTCCAGCATCTGTTCTCTGGCCCGATGGGCGCGGTGAATCTTGCGATGGCGTCGAAGAGTTTGGCTTCTGGTCAAGCCTGGCTCGGAGTGCCCAACGTCGTCAAGATCAGTCTCGCCTGATGAGTCTGTTGCCCAGTCAGAGCAGCAATAACTACCCGCTGGACACTCAATCTGATGATCATTATCAACTGCGAGGATCGAAGAGCACGCGTTTTCATTCTTGCACTCACGTCTGATTCCTCCTCCAGGCGATCGACATATGCTTCAGCTTGCTTACAGAGCGTAAGCGTAGCCTTAGCCTTCGCGTGTTCCTCGCCCCAAGCATCCTTTGCCTCTTTTGCCAGAATCCCAGCAACATATGCTGTCCGATATTTCTTCACGCTCGAGTTGAGGCCACGACGCTCCAGCTGAAGTATCTTGAAAAATGGTCTTTTGTAGCGTGAGCGGTCCTGTTCAGCCCTCTTGGCTTGACGGAGAGCCTTCCGAGCCTTGCGTTGTTTGGCTACTTGCACGCCATGCTCACGGACACGGTGCTCCAAGTATCTTCTAGCGCGACGCAGACGGCCAGGACGTTGGGCATCGAATCGAGCACCCGAGTCTAGAGAGTCGTCCGACCCGGCGTCGTAGTTTGACATTATAACAAGAGGTGATGGTTCACGGTCAACATGCAGATGGGCAAGCATGAGGCGTTACGTCGCAAAAGTCCCATCCCGGTGATCACCGGCGTCGACCCACCGACGACTGAATCAGTGCTGATCAGCACTGATTACCCGAATGCGGGCGGGTGAGCAGTGCCCCGTGCAACTTATGTAATGATACAAATGACGCTGAACTGTATGACTATGGCTGATCATGCGATGCTGCAAACGTGATAGAATACGTGTAACGAGCCCTACCACTGTGATGGCTGCAGTGCCGTACAGTCGCCATCTGACATACTCCAGGGGTGGAGTGGGATGAGGTCGGCGGGTCGTACTCACTGCAGCTGCGCCGGCGCGTCATTCGTGTCGTAGATGCTCAAATAGCTTCAGACGCAGAGCTTGCAGAGAGCTTGCAGCCATGATATACGCATTGTTTGTGCGTGTACATGGGGTGAAATATGATGAGTATCAATCAATAGACTACGCGAGGTTGTACTACTTGCGCGTGAAGATCTCCCGCTCATGCTCGGCCAAAATCTCATCGGAGAGAATACGGTGACCACAATAACGCTCAGCAGCCCAAGCAACCCTTTGACCACTGAATCTACGAATGTACATACACATCAGCAAAATGAAGGTCATGAGTCGCAAACCTATAAAACACGTCGTCAGAAAAGCCCGATGAGATGAAAGCCTAGACGTACCGCCGAATGCTGTAGAGGGTAACAGCGGTGAGCCCACACTCGACGTTCTGTTCGAGCAGATATTTACGAGTAAAGGCGAAGGAGCCGTGGTGGATCGCCTTCGCGCAGCCCCAGCACTACTCGATTACGTTGACTTCACAGTCAAACTTCGGGAGCAAGAATACACGGAAATCACGTTCGGCACAATGATCCTCGGAGGTGGACAGAGTCTGGGCAATGTCAGGCGCGTTGACGAGAGTGCAATGATAGCAGCAAGAATCTTCGTGGTCGACAATCAGGGGGCCCTTGAGCTTCGGACACTCGGCACGATAGGCAGTAAGCAGGTCACGACTACAGCGGTGCTCGGCGAAGATTCCCCTTGAAGTCTTGGAGACACCGGCAAGAGAGTGATCCAAACTGAAGGAAAGTGACTGCGGGGAGTCATCAGCGAAACGCGCGTTAGCTATGCGGATATGTTGGCGCACGAGCTTGCCCCTGGCATCGTATACAGGCTTGTTCTCGGATTTCAATACCGGGACGCCGATGCCAGATGAAGCATTCGTCGCGGGGAATGTGGGCGTCTTGCGGGCTGAAATGGCCGTCTTCGCGACATTTGCGATGGGCAGTGGCGCTTGCATAGGGGAGACGAGCTCATTATCAGGGCATCGGGCCGAAATAATGTCCATAGCGTTAATGGCCTGCAATCATGTCAGGAAAAGGTGAATATATTGAGGGCTGAGGGCAAAGGGCATACCTGTATCAAATATCGGTAGAAGTAGAATATCCGTCTCTTGTGGTCCCAGCCTTGAACGCGGCACGAGAGGTATCACCATGTATGTCTTCTAACCAGCTAGAGTCATCCGAGACAACCACCACAACCACCACCGTAGCACGCTCGGGCTTTGCGCGCGGGACTGGTCGCTCATTACGACGAGTCCAGCGAATGAGTCATTGATCGTGGGCACAGACATGACTTTGGCCATCGGAACCAACTCGAGCTCGCCCTTACGGGTGCATACACGCTGTGACTTCCAAATCTCATTTGGTGATTAGGTCGACACCATCACGATAGGCCACGACATCCGCGCGCTCGGGTTTGTTGACGTACTGACCCTTTGTCTCATCGGAGTTCACGTAGAACAAGATATCTTTAGGATCGGCGTGACAACCGGCGGACTGAAGGTGAAGGGAGATCGATTGTGCCTGAGCGTCGTCGTCGAAGAGCGAGCATGTCCATAACACAGACAAGTTTGTTGAGAGACGAATGTGATCGGCGCGAATCGCGCGTGCTGTGTAGAACCACGACCGTGCACTGATGCCACGTCCAAGAAGTAGAGGACCCGACACTTCCGAAGGCTACCCCAATTATGCGCCGGAAGGTTGTAGGTCTATAGGTGCTGTCCCGCCATCTTCAGGCGCTGCCTATTTGTCGCACGATGGATGGATGAGGGGCCTCAAGGCAAGGCGCGGCCTGGCGTTCCGCGTAGGTCGGCGGTGCCTCAAGGCGACGGGCCTGTCCGTGCTATTGATGTCGCCTGGCGGCGGATCAAAGGCGGCCGCGAGCTACCTTGCGACGGGGAGGCGGGAGGCACTGCAGAGCACTATCTGCGCCAACATCGCTTTCACCGTCATAGAACGGATGGCGACCATCCTCAGAACTCTGACGCTGGACGTCGGCTAAGCGCGCAAAACGAGAGCGCGCTTGGTGGAGATATTTCTTGAAGCGGACGAAGTTCGACGTAGATTCGACAGACTGCGCTGTATGCTTCCGAGACTGAGCTCCACGTTGATGTGACAGCAGTCCGGCGGTAGGTTTAACGAATGAGATCACGTAGTAAGGTGGATGATGCAGGGCGAGTGCCAATATTTGCAGGAGGTGACATTCGAGACGACCTTGGGTTGTCCACAAACAGCGAGCTGCTGTGGATAAGACAGAACGGCGCTGTCCCGCGGATGCGTGTCCTGTTGATGCGACTTCAGAAGAAAAGTCGATCGGACAAACGCCACGCATTCCAGATCCTCTATGAACACCAGCGACGCCCAAGCTTCTTCGAAAAAGCTCATTATTTGCTCAAAGCTCTGATAGGCAGTGCATATATCCTCCGCAAATTAGCACAGTGCACGGGAAAGGAGTACTTTGCCACCGGAGCGAGGCGCCAGATCCGCAAGAATGGACCGATTGATCTTGAGAGCTTCGCCGATCGTACGGGGTGCTCCCAATGCGACGAGATCCAGAAACTCATCGTCGGGGCCACGAGTACACGAGAAGGAGGGGATAACAAAAGACAGAGTTCGATGTGGCGAAGCGCTGGCGGTAATTTCCAAGCGAGCGTTTCCAAAACGGGCTATGCGCCTGGGACGAAGCAAGCGCTACGGTCGAGGCTGCCGCGCTGCCTGCGCCGAATCCGTGACCGACTTGGGCGCCGGGGTACTTGCGCCGCGCCCATGGCGGCTGTCCGTTGAGGCAGCGAGAGCCAGTCTCGAAGCGCG